AAAATTGAAAAGGCAAAATCAGTGGCCCCAACTCCTGCCACTGCCTCTCTGATCTCATGGCCCACCACTTTCCCAACTTTCCCCACCATCCTCACTGCCCTTCCTGCAGGCATTCCTCAGAGAAGAGAAACAGGCTCCCACTTCTGGGCCTTCACATTGTTTCCGCACTTCCCTTCACCCCTCAGGCATCAGGTCAAAATGCCTTAACCAGAGGCTTCCTCCCAGCGCTGTCCTGGCCGGTAGGAACTCTTCCCCTGGCCTGGCCTGGCCTGGCTTCCTCCTCACCACTTAGCCTCTGACATCCGTCCTTTTAATTATTCCTTCTCACAAAAAAACTCTGGTCTGCTCATTAAGACTTCTTTTTTGATGAAAGCGGTCCTATTGCAATTAGTCTGTTCAGTTAAAATCTTGGTCAATTTCAGGAGCCATGCATAGGAAATGACTGCGATGGTCTGGCGAGAAAAAGGCCTTTCTGAGAGCAGAATGGCCTGGATTTTCAAATTGCTTTATGAAGCGCATGACTCCATGTTTGCTACAAGGGCCCCAAGAACAAGTAGCCTGAACATCCTCCAAGTGTCTCAAGCAGCAAAGCCGACTCTCAGCCCCCACCCTTGTCCTTGTTGGCTGTCATCCAGACCGCCCTTGACTCAGGGCAAACCTGCTGCCTGGTCCCGCTCCCTCCCTGCGACCCTGGTGGTCCACAGGGTTTGCAGTGATTGATTTGGGGGAGTAGATTGCAGGGTTGGTCTTCCTAGTCTGTCTTCATCTAGAGCAGTGGTTCTCAGCCTTCCTCATGCCGCGACCCTTCCTGTGGTGGTGACCCCCCCTCCCCAACCATAAAATTATTTTCGTTGCTACTTCATCACTGTCATTTTGCTACTGCTATGAATCGGGCGACCCCTGTGAAAGGATCCTTTGACCCTCAAAGGGGTCACGACCCACAGGTTGAGAATCACTGATCTAGAAGCTCTGCTGCCATTTGCTCAGTACCAGAGCAACACATGCCTCCACTGACAAGTGGCTGTGCTCAGGCTGGACCCGAGATTCTACACAATCAGAATCTGCGCTTTAACAAGACCCTTAATGGGGAATAATATGCACATTAAAGACAGAGAAAATCCAAACTAATACCAACCCTACATAGCATTCCCAAATCTGTACATCTGCACACAACCTCATCGTTCTCCAGTGGGCTTAACCTGCCAACCGCGTGATGAGCCGTGAACGGCCCAATCAACAGTGCTACCGGGGCTCCTAAAGATGGCAAAGCAGCAGCTAAGGGGCCTGCGAAGTCTAAGGCTGCTGGAGGGGCTCTTAGCAGCCCCATATTCACTCTTTCACACATTTTCCTTTGGCCCTCGGACATTCTCTAAAGAATCCCACTCCATGCCAGTGGACTGATAGTCATCTCCACCTACTGTCAGTTGTCTACCACGGAGGTGTGCACTTGTTAGAACCCTGGAAGACACGCCATCCCATTCCAAACACCCGTGATGAGCAGGTTTCAGCTGAGCTCCCCGACTAAGAAGAAGGCACGGCAATCTATTTCTGAAAGTTAGCCAGTAGATCATGACAGTATATTGTGCAGCACAGTCCTGGAAGATGAGCCCCCCTCCCCACCCCACCCCTAGGTAAAAGACACTCAAAATAATACAGTGACCAGAAGAGTGGATTTGAGCAAACCAACACTTGTGAAAATGGGACTGGACAAAATGCTGGCCTGTTGTATACAGGGTTAGTGTGCATTAGTGCATTACAGCCGATAGGACTAACAACAAGTCATCTCAACCTGGAATGTAAACATACTTTCACGTTTGAATAGAAAATCAACCCCCCCCCAAAAAAAAGATCTAAATGTATTTTTTTTTAATTTTTTTCTAAATGTATTCTTCTGGATCACTGGCTACCAGCACGTCTTGAATCTCAGAGAAAGTTACATAAAGCTAAGATTTAGAAATAAGACAAAATGAAAGCATGAGGGTAAACTAGCTAACATCTCAAGGGATCACTTAATCGTAAGGGTCTGCAAACCTGTTGCTAGTATGACCTCTGAACACATCTTTCTCAAGGGAAGATCTCAGACAGAAATTTACCCAGACACTTAAGCAGGCCCAAGGAAGTATGGCAAGAGGAAATAGGTGTTTACCAGGATTTAACAGCTACACCAAAAATCAATGGCCTTATCATTCCAGAGGGAAGAGCCATACTTTCCCAGGGGCAGTCCAAATGTGACAATTAAGAAACAGGCCGTTATATTTGATACCACTTGTTGCAAAGAACAGCCATTTCTCATTAATCTGATGCTGCCACACCCAAGCAGTGTCTGACACACTTTCAGGTTTCAAGGTATCTTTTTTTTTCCCCACTGAAAAGAAGTGATACTGACTGACTGACTTTCATTATTCAGAACAAGTACCAGAACAAGATTAACAAGTAGGGAAAATGTTAATTCTGTCCATTGCACCATTATCACATATGCTTGTACATGAACTACAAGTATTTGGGCAAACTTTTGGACAAGGGTTTCAAGAAACTGACCTATCTTTTAGCAGCTTGATTCTAAAATAAATTAGATCCCTGGTCTTCAAGAGCTTAATTCCTCTTTCTGTGTAACATTTTTTTTTTTTTAACATTTTATTAGGGGCTCATACAACTGTTATCCCAATCCATACATCTGTGTAACATTTTATCTCATTTACTGCCCCAGATAAGACTGGGGAAGGTTGGGCAATTTCTATGCTTTTGCAGTCAGCTGACAGAGAAGCCACCCCAGGGGTCTCAATCCCAGACCCCACCTCAACCCCACAAAGCTTGTGAGGGTACGTTAAGTTCATGGGAAAGTTCCACGATCTTTTCATTCCACTCCCATGAACGTTTTGAAAGCCCCCTCTTCCTACATCTTTCAAGGTGTTTCAATAACTCGAGTAATCAGTTAGCTCCTATTTTTCCAATTTCAGACTATGCTTCATCACACACTTCTCCTTCCCTAAGAAATCAGGCTTCTGCCAGACTTGCTTATACGGAGGATTCCTTACTAGAGTCCCCACACTGCCTCACTCGGATGGATGGCGGAGGTTGGCTGGGGACAGGGGCGGGGAAGGTTAGTGGAGCCAGGATTAGAGCCTGCAAGAGAACTAGCAGGGTCTTGTCCTGAGCACTAGAGAGCCAGCTCCCTAGGCACCTTTTTGGGCACCAGCGCTCAGCTCCGAGGGTGGTGAGCGACCCTGGGAGCAAGTCCCCTAATTTCCCTCCGCCCAAGATGTCCCGAAGAGGCCAGATTAATTAACCCCTCAGACACCAGCGGGCGGAGCGAGGGCGGAGGACGCCCAGAGGCGGCGGGCGCAGTGCGGGACGGGCTGGGCATCACGTAGGCACGGCTGGGCCGGGGGAGGAGTCGGGGCCTCGCAGCGCCGCAACCTGTCGCCGCCGGAGGTGCTTGCGCAGCCCAGCTCTAGCAGCCCAGCTCTAGCAGCCCAGCTCTAGCAGCCCAGAAGCAGGGCGTGCGTCCATGTCAAGGGCACAGGGAAGGGCACAGGGAAGGTCACGGGCCAAGGGTGAGGAGAAGGCGAGCACGTGAAAGAAAAGCTCAGGGCAGCCGTGAGCATCCCTCGGCAGTGTGTGACCTCAAAGAAACGTAAAAATACCAGAGCGTTCGCCACTCATCCAGGACTAAGGGGAGAGGAAGAGACCCACAGGGGCGCGCGCACGCGCGCACACACGCGCGCACACACAATCGGGAAACCCCTTTCCAGGCGGAGCAGGCACGAGGCGACAGCAAGGAAATCATTTGCCGGGGAACTTCAGTTCTTGGCTCTACCACTGACTCGGGATTAACACCGGATCAGTGAATCACGCCCGCGGGGAACACCAGCGCCCCGGCTGCAAAAGAAGGGATAAGGGGGCCAAGGTTTCACCCCAGTCCCCCGCGGGGTCCTTACACCCGCTGCCGTGTCTCTCCTTTTAAAATACTAAATATTTAGTCACCGCCTCCCCCAACACACTCGACGTCCCCTTCCTCCCTCCCAGGTTGTGGGTGTTCGGGAAGGTGCGGGGCGGCTGGAGTCCACACCCCAACCCCGGTGACGTCCTGGGAGTCCTTTAAGCTTCCTGCCGCCACCGCTAGGACGCCTTTCGCAAAGAGGGGTGGCCGGCAGAGAGCCGGCCTGGTGGTCCATTTTAGTTTTCGGTTTGGTCACGAGCCGGCAGAGGACAGGAGAGCTGAGTGGGGGAAACCCTTTGGAGAGAAATCTCCCAGTGGAAATAAAACGTGGTAGCAGGTCTCCAGGGTCAAATCCAGGGAGCTCCCCCCCTCCCCGCGCCCAGGGCCCCACTCCGGCCTCGGGGTCCCTGCAATGCAGCAGAGCAGCCCCCTCCCCGCCCCGCCCCAGACGTGTAGGAGGTGGAGCTGAAGAAGTCACCCCGAGGGACTGATCCTTCCATTGACCCCCTCCTATTTCCTTTCGGGGGCTGGGGATGCGGAGAGCGGAAGGGCGCCGAGACCACGCTGTCGGTGGAAGTTGCGGCAAGCCGAAGCGGCGGAGGCCGGGACAGAGCTGTCTCTAACTTTCGCGGGCAAGTCTGGCTTTTATTCCACGATTCAGAGGTGGCATGGCCTTGGATGGCATTTCAGGCAATCCAGTGGCCAATCTCGATTTAAAAATTAAAAAGCAGAGGTGGAAATTGATTCTCCCTGAAAATGGGAATTTCTCACCGACCCCTCCAGCCCCCCATCCTAGGATTCCTGAAGCTCTCTCCCAGTTCTGGCTCATCCAACAGGTATCCCTGCTATGCCCGGTCGCTGGAAGCTTCTTCCGCCACCTCCACCCTCCGCCCCCCCCGCCCCCAACCCAGTTACTTCACGACTCAGACGCGGGGGCCCGCCTCTCCCAGAGCCTCGCCCGCTGGCCGCATCCCCCAGGGTGGCGCAGGCTGCAGCCTCCGGCCCTGCCCTCCACGCCAGCATCCTCCGGAGCTGGGAGCCGGGGCACGAGTGTACGCACCTTGGGCATCCCCGCCGCTGGTCAGGACTCCGATGGCTTTGCCATCCCCGGAGATCTGTTCCAGGTACCTCTTGAAGGAAGGTGTCGATGGCACAGTCATGGTGAGGAAAGACGTCGGGAGACGCCGGCTAGGTTCGATGAAACGGCTGAGGTCTCAGCTCCGGCTTCCCGCCGGCGCTTGGCGAGCTGCCTTTAGAGCTGCCCGGCACCCGCCTCCTCCAGAGCACGGCTCGAGCTCGAGCCAATGGGCGACGGCGCGGGCGAATGATCGCCGACGCTGGGGAGCGCTCGGCCAATCCGGTCGCACGGGGGGCGGGCTGAACACGCGGGCGCTCCGCCGCGGGGCGTGGGAGCTGCCCGCGACGCTCTGGAGCGCGCGTCCGACCCCGCCGAGACCGCACCCGGGAGCAGAGGCTCCCCGCGAGCTCGAGGACGATCGGGCGGTTGGGAGACAACCGACCCGCCACCGTGGCGAGCGTGCGTTTCCTGCGGCGCCCAAGCAGGGCGTTCCTTTGGGCTTCCGATCTTCAGTCTCCAGGCTCCCCCGAGGGTTCGCCCTCCAGCGGAGGTCCAGCAGGACAGGAGTGTGTGCAGACCCTCAGGCTGGTGGCAAAATGTGGGCTTTGCTGGCTCCTGTGCCTCCCCCGCTTTCGTTTTCCCTGTCGTCACGGAGGCTCTGGCACCATTGGCTGTCACAGCTCTGCGCTTGTGGAAGTGTGTGTATGGGGGTTGGGGAGGGGGCGGGGAGGGGCGCAGTAGGGGAGGAATTGAATTTAGGTTGTAGGATGACTGGGAGCGATTCTTCAGAGACCCTCTTGCCCAGGCCTAGTCTAGATGCTGAGACTCGCAATGGGCTGTGAAAGGCTTAGAGGGTAAATGGAAGAAACGGCAGTATTTCTTAGGGAATAGATATGTTTAACAAAGTGCAAAATTTGAGAGCAACCACTCTAATGGTTAAGTCCAGCAGTGTGAGAGCAATGACTCGGCAGCACTGAGTGGTTCTGTAGATGGCACAGTCCAGTCGTTGGCCGTTCCCCTGGGACAGCTGTAGTCAGGCTCTGACAATTCTGTCGGCAGAACACTACACTAAAACAAAACAAAAGCACTGCCCTCCAGTTGATGCCGACTCAAAGTCACCCTAGAGGACAGGGTAGAACTGCCTTGGTGGGTTTCCAAAAGTACAACTGTGTAGGGGAGTGGCACCCTGTCTTTCTCCCTGGGAGCAGCGACCCTGAGTGAGGATTGAAGCCCAACGCATAACCACTACCCCCCCAGAGTTGAACGCTCACAGTCCACTTAAAATATAATGTGTGTTATCAAAACAGAAGCTGTCAGCATTTGTGCCGTTCTGGAACAACTCACATTTTAAAAATCGGTGCGCTCGGAATTTTCTCATCCAAATGCTCTTTCCCTTCACATAAAATTGATAGTTTATCATTTAAAACTTGAATATTGATTGTTTGAGAAAATGATTGACTAAACTAACTGTGTTAGTCTAGGTAGATTAGAGAAGCAAATTCATAAGGACACATGTGTGAAAGAAAGAGGTTTATCTGCAAGAGCAATTGATTATTGAGAAAATATCCCAGCCCTGTCTGGATCAAGTCCTTAAGTCCAATATTAGCCCATATGTCCCATTCCAATCTATAAAGTCTCTTCAGACTCACAAAATACATGCAATGATGTTGAATGCAGGAGGATCATAGGGCGGTGGGTTAGAAATCATCTGGATCCAGTGGCATTAACTATCTCAGCACTGGCAGGAGGCTCTGTGTGGCTCCTCCAATTCCCAGGACTGCATCAGGGTAGGTCCATGTAGTTTCTCAGGGATGTCTAGCAGGAAGTAAGCAGAGAGAGAGAGAGAGAGTCTCTCCTGCCTCCAAGGAGGAAATACAGGAATTCCCAGAATTCTCAGAAGGCCATGCCCACACAGAGGCATCATTGGCTCTGACCCGATTGACAGTCTAGATTCCACCCTTAAACCCTTAATCCTCTCAAGTCCCAAATTGACACCAGATTATGTAACTATCAACGCTAACCGCCCAGATGTGGCAATTGGTTAAACACAGTACAGTATTGTAAAAATGTACAACATACAATAGTTGGTAAGATTGTGAAGATCATAGCTAATGGCATGACATTATGTTCAGGATATATTAATAGATGTTAAAACGGGCCTAGGCAAGGATGTGGAGTTCCTGGGTGGTGCAAAGGGGTAAGCCTTCCACAAGTAACGAAAAGGCTGGTGGTTCTAACTCAACCAGAAGGCCTTCAGCAGAGGCCTGGTGATCCACTGCCCGAGGAAGGTTCTACTCCGTAGAAATAGGAAGGACTCTGTGGCAACTGTTGTATATGGCTTTGTTTTGTTTTCGGATGCAGCTGGAGACCTGTGTGTGTGTGAATCTAGGTATTTTTATTTCCTCTTTCTTATTATACTCAGTTTTTTTCCCCTCCAAAAATGCTCTTTTGGAATGAAAATCCAAAGCTAACCCAAAGCCACTGCAGGTGAGTTGATTGCGACTCATAGCAGTCCTATGTAGGATTTCTAAGACTATATCTTTACCAGACAAATCGCCTCTCATCTCTCTCACGAAGAACTGGTAGGTTTGAACCACTGACCTTGCTGTTAGCAGTCATCACCTAACAGGATCACCCAGGGTCTCTTTGGAATAAAAGTGTTGTAATTAATGTTTAAAAAATAAAATAAAATTTCAGTTGTCACAACCATGTGATTATGTATGTTTACCAAAAGCTTAAGTCTCTATCTGAAGGATTGTTCAGTGTTCAGTTTGTCAGTTTATCAGGGTAGTAATAGGGCTATAGCTAGCTTCCACACAGTGTTCATCTATACTAAGAGTAGACCACATCCTGAATGAAACCTCCCTCAATTGACTCAAGACTCTCATCAGATTAAGGAGGCGATACTCAACCTTCTTATTCTCAAAACTGCTTCACAGAAGCTTCCATCATGGACTTGACCACACTATGTTAGATCAAAATAAGAAAAAATCCTGGCCTACCCAGGCTGACACAAAAACGATCACATCCTCTTTGGATCCAGAATCCACTTCCTTGTGTCAGTCTGGGTTCTCTAGAGAAGCAAAACCAGTGAAGCCCATAAATGTGTATCTTAAGGAAGTGACCCAGTTTTAGAGGCTGGCAAGTTCCAAGTCCATGCGTCAGATGTCAGGCTGGGGCTTCTTCTGACATCCTCTTCAGGGGCTGAGAAACCCAAGATCAGCAGGTCAGATGGTAGGCTGCTGGGGGTGTTGTAGAGGCTGCTGAGTGCCAACTCTGTGTGTCAAATGTCAGGTTAGATGAAAGCTTTTCCTGACTCCTATCACTACAACAAACAAAACTCATGCCCATCAAGCCCATACTGACTCATAACCACTCGTAAGTTGAAGGGCTGCCAGTAAATTAACTGTCTCACGGAAGTGAGTTGAACTGTTAGAGTACAGCTGTCCCTGTGGGTTTCCAAGACGTACTTTTTAAGTGAATAGAAAACCACCTCTTTCTCCTAAGAAGTGGTGCCTTTGAACTTCTGACCTTGTGGTTAGTAGCCCAGCACATAACCACTACACTACCAGGGCTCCAGCATGTGGTGCTGCATTACATGCAGGATCCAGCTTCAGCAAGAATGGCCACATATATTGGAAACAGGCCACACCCCTGAGGAAAGGCCCTTTATGTTGATTGAGTGCTCAGAGCAGAACTTACCATGCAGGTGATTACATTATATCACATCTCATCACGTGTAATAATTATTACTGCCAAACCACTGAACTATGGCCCAGGCAAGGGGACAAACAATTTTAACTAGCACGCTCATGCAAGGTAACAGGGATCCACTTTTCCCTGACACTCAATTCAGGTCAAGTAGAGACTTATTTTATTGAAATCCATGGATAGACATAAAACGAAGACAGCTCAACCAGCCCCCACTTTACTGAGACTATTGTTTATAAGTGAAATGGCTAATTTTATGTCAGCAGGGCTAGCCTGTGGTGCCCAGTGTTTTGATTGAATACTAGTCTAGGTATTGTTATGAAGTAGTTACACGTGGTGAAGTCAGTTGGCCTTAAGAAAAGCACCACCACCCCCAACAAACAAAACAAATGAAATTCACTGCCGTCAAGTTGATTCTGAATCATGGCGGCCCTGTAGAACAGGTAGAACTACCCCTTTGGATTTCAAAGACTAACTTTTTACTGGAGTAGAAAGCCTCATCTTTCTCCCACGGAGCATCTAGTGGAGAAACTATCAGTAGCTAAAACCAGGTTGGGGCCAACTGTGAAACAGACTGTCTTAGGGTTCTCTAGAGAAACAAAACGATTATATATATGGATAGATATATACAACACAAAGAAATAAACCGCTAATTAGTCCACAGAGCAGTACAGAGGGCTCAGTTCAACTCACTTCCACAAGACAGTTAATATACTGGCAGTCAACTTACGAGGGCTGCTGGGTGCAAGTCAAGGAAGCAGACAGCTGAGTCTTCTGTAGATCAATGTAGGCAGTCCAGCCACAGGCAGCAAACAGCAGGGTAGGTCACCAACAGTCTGGCAGATGACAGGGTCTGACAGTCCCCAGCTCAAGTGATGTATACGCCAGCAGTGTGGCAAAGCAGGTCTTGAAGGAACCTCGAACTATAGTGACATGATCCACGGGTTGTGTGTCCCACAGGTAGTGTAGCTCACAAGTTGAGGTAGAGAACTAGCTAAGGCAGCCGCACACTGGTCCGATCATCAGAGAGCAAGAGACAGAAAGGCGAGGCTTGCCGAGCCATTTATCTCTTTGGCCTTCAATTAAACTGCAATCTTATTAATCCCATATGGGTTTACTGGCCAGGTTGGCACAATAAACCTACCTATTACACAGACCATCAGTTGCTTATATGTAAGTTCAGACTGAAACGGAAGAAAATCGATAAAAGCCCATGAGAGCCAAAATCTGACCACAAGTTTATCCCTACTGAATTTTGAGAGCATCACAAGAATAGATTTGACACACTGAACACTAATGACAGAAGACCCGATGAGCTGTGTGATGACATTGAGAACAGCACTTACAAAGACAGCAAAAAGTCATTAAAAA